TACTTTTTACAGTTGGAGTGATAAAAGTGGGTTTTTCTAAAGCAAGTAATTATGTAATAGATCTGGGTTTGGATAAACCGTAACAAGTAGTACAGTAAGATAAATAGAGGAAAATCTGTTACTCACTTTATAAGAAAAATCCATTGTTAAGTATTTAACTGGTTTTGGTTTTTAATCTCAGTGTTATCCTTCAGTTTTTATCACGGCATATGAAAATGATCAACGGATACCACTAACAGGAGTTTTACAGTATGTTCAGAAACTTAGGAAGGCTGCACTAGATCATGCCAGCAGAACAAGTAAGAAAGGTAAGAATGAAAATAGTTCAGGCGTGTGGAGTTAACTAAACCTGAATATTAGTAGTCACATTATTAAACACTAGAGAGATTGACTCCTCCTTAAATTCATTAATTTGTACAATATGGTCCAGTATCCAAGGCTCTGAAATAACTTCCGTTATCTGTAAGGCTGAGCTGTGCAGTCGTACTGACAAGTCAGATAAACCTCAGCTGCTAAGAATCATAGAACTGTTTGGGTTGGAAAGGACCCTTAAGATCGAGTTAATGCAGTGATGCCAGGCTCACCACTAAACCATGGCCCCGAGCACCACATCCACATGGCTTTTAAATACCTCCAGAGATGGTGACTCCACCACTGCCCTGGGCAGCCTGTTCCAGTGCTTAACAGCCCTTTCCATGAAGAGATTTTTCCTGCTGTCCAATCTAAACCTCCCCTGGTGCAACTCAAGGCCATTTCCTCTTATCCTACCACTTACTGCTTGGGAGAAGAGACCGACCCACACCTCACTACAACCTCCTTTCAGGTAGTTGTAGAGACTAAGTCTCCCCTCAGCCTCCTCTTCTTCAAGCTAAACACCCCAGTGCCCTCAGCTGCTTCTCATAAGACTTTTTCTCCAGACCCTTTACCAGCTTTGTTGCCCTTCTCTGGACACACTCCAGCACCTCAATGTCTTACTTGTTGTGAGGAGCCCAAAACTGAACACTGGCTTCAAGGTGCAGCCTCACCACTGCCCAGTACAGGGGTACAATCACTGCTCTAGTCCTGCTGGACACACTGTTTCTGATACAGCCCAGGATGCACTTTCCAGAGCCTTAAGAGGGACCAGATATCTCTGTACTGTAGACCTGCCTGGAAACAGTTAAACCTATGTGGCAAACAGGGACAGACCACAACAGGCCCAGGAAACCTTCTGAAACAAAAAAAAAAAAATAAAAGACTGGGAAAATATGGTGACTGTTGGACAGGCTAAGTGAAATTATGCTGTCTGGTCCAGCTACTGATACAGTCAGACTGCAGACAACAACATATGGATAAAAAAAATCTCATATTTGCTGCTCTATGAAAACCTACTTTTCCCAGTTCACTAAAGCTGCAGGTGCTAGTCCAAGTTAGAAGGACAACAATGCACAGAGGCTTTTATACCTGAAATTTAATACCAGCTTTGGAACTGTTTCCAGCAAAAGGTGCATTCAAGCCTTATTATTTTCTAGTATCATCTAATCTGGGGAGAGGCTTTTACCATGAGTACCAAAATAGATCTTGAATTAGCTTTTCTAAATTTCATTATGCCCCTTCTCTGCTAGCAGCACAGCTGCAGTCGTTGCGAGAGGTTAGCAGATGCTGCAATTGCTGTTGTAGCCTTTTCTCTGAAAGAAAAAAGCCCATCTTTCAAAAAAACCTCAGAAAGATAACAAACCCACTATATATATAAACATTTTTCAAGCATGTGGTTAATAGAAATACAAATAGTTCATGCAGCAAGCCCCTACATGACTTTTTTTTCTTCTTAAGGAAGAATAGAAATTCTGACAGGAGACAGAATTATCTATCCTTAAACAACCCACACCCCTACTTACCTTTTTTCTTGTTCATTCACTGCCAAGTGACACCTTGCTTCACTCGTGCAGGAAATTGGGTCCCTAATGTCATCTTGGACATCCAGGCCAAGGGCAGTCATTGCGAGTCATCTTGGGAGGATTCACTGAATGAGGTACGGTCCCTTTACTGCACACATCCGTAACGTCTCGGGTGGAGGCGTCCCCTCGACAGGTACTTCAGCCTCAGCAGTTCCTGCAGTCACTGAGAGTATGTTTGAAGTGTTCAAAGCAAAGCACAAGAAACCACCACAAACCTGCTGGAGTTAAGGTCACTTTTGTAACCTTTCATACATATCTCAAGAGCAACTGCTGGTTGTATGTATATGTGTATATATATATGTATATGTGTGTGTGTGTGTGTATATATATATATGTATGTGTATATGTATATATGAGGTTTATATATATCTATATTAAACCCCATTTTTTATATATAAAATTAGGTATCTCTTATGTGTTTTAATATATATTTATATATATCTCTATAAAAGGGCCAGTGACAGAATCAGGTTATTAAACCTCATTGTGCCTTAAGCCTCAGAATAGTATTAAACTCCTCCTATAATGTGCCAAGAGCTTTGAGTGAAAGGTCCTAAGTTGCGCAAAACATTGTTCCAGCAGGAGAAGTCTTGCACTGTAGAATATCAAGTGCTTAAAATCGCCATACTCGCTACTGATTTCTACATTCCTCATGTGTAAAACACGTGATGGGTTTCATTTTTGCGGTTTGAAATGCATGAGCTGTACTATCAAAGGACACTCCTACAAGTAGGTTTCAACATTTTGCACTTTGTAACAAGCGTGCATGCTGAAAGCAAGGTCCTGGCAAGACCTGACATATTGTTACTGAGGTCTCAGGCTATCACAGCTGGATACAAATTTCACACTGTTAATTTTAACAAATCCTAGCAAATATTAGTTGCTTGTTGTGGCAGTTACTCACAAAATTAATTCTTTCAGGAAAAGTCTCATTCTGTCTTAGGGCAAGGCACTGCTTTGCATTAGTACAGCAAAGGAAGATGAGCATAGGTGTGCAAGAACCTGAAAGAATTTTATTTTTGTAATAAAATATTTTCATTGTTTTAGGTTGCAAGGCAACTTGCATTTCTGAACAAAGAACTTGAGGAAGTATGTCATCTCCAGCATCGCGTGAAATCCTGCAAATAGCTAATAAACAATTGTCCGCCTGAAGAACATGGGGTTGGATTTTTATTTATACGGAAAGCGAACACCTTCCTGAAATGATCTCTCCTTTTGGGTCCCTGCTTTATGGGCCTCAGCAGACAAGAAATCCAAAGCTGGGTGGGGCATTGGGTTATAAACATACAAACTAAGAGCTGAATTCCTCCCCTGCCAGATAGCACAGATGCAGCCGCCTGCATTAATCCATTTGTTCAGGCCAGCTGAGCTCAGAGAAGCAACGCAGCGCTGTCCCACGGGAGCTGAAGCACAACGGCTGGTGATTAAAGCCCAACAGGTGAAGATGTGCACTTCATGCAGGCAGCCTCTCCTGTCTTCCAAAACCACGTTTTACACAAGGCAGTAGAACTCCCAAGAAGTATGTGATTTAAAAGTCTCACTAGGGTCTCTGAAAACAAATTCCCATACACAGGTGATGATGACAGTTGCCCTTTCTAGCAACACAGCAGCTGTAGTGTACTGATCTTGTGGTGGGGCCAGACTGCAAAGAAGCAGCAGACTCTCAAGAACAAGGATTTTAGAACTCTTTCACAGAACCACAGAATTGTTGAGGCTGGAAAAGAGCTCTGAGATCATCAAGTCCAGCCTATGACCCAACACCACCACATGGGCCAGACCATGGCGCTATGTGCCACATCCAGCCTCTCCTTAAACACCTCCAGGGACGGTGACTCCACCACTTCCCTGGGCAGTGCATCCCAGTGCCTGAGCACCCTCTCCATGAGGAAGTGCTTCCTGAGATCCAGCCTAAACCTTCCCTGATGCAGTTTCAGGTCGTGCCCTCTCATCCTCTCACTACTTGCCTGGGAGAAGAGCCCAACCCCCACCTGACTGCAACTTCCCTTCAGGTAGAGAGTAGATTCAAAATCTTGTACTTACCTTAACTAGCAAGGTAATCTTAAAAAGAAGGTGCTTAAGTCCCTCCAGAAGACAAATGCCCCAGAATGCGATGCCAGCATCTCTTCCGGGGACAAAACAAAAAATAATGTCCCCATTAAAGCAGCCTGATCCGTAGCTGAGATGGCCTGTTAGCAAGGCAACAAACTGCTGGGCTCTGCTGCTTCAGGCAGATGCTGAGTGCCCACCCAGGAGCAGCGACTGGTACCAGCACCTGCTGGAAATACACTCTGGGCATGAGGTGCTCAAACCCAAGCGGCGCTCCCCAGATCACTCCTGTGTCCCAAGTCAAATGCTTGTCCCTCCTCTGGGTCACATAAGCTGCTGTAGGTCCACCAAATGCAAATCAAAACAGGTGAATAAGAGTAACACTCAGTAGAGTTGTTTCAGTTGCTTACTCTGAACTAAGGTATGTACACCTGGCCTCAGCCTTAGGGTAGAAATACATGAGAAATGCAAATGTATTCTAACTCAGCAGAGGGGATTCGATTGGAAATGCATTCCTGAGTTGTAGAATTAGACACATTAGCTATCTTTTGTTCTTTTTCTTGTTACTAGCCTTGAGAGAAGAGGCAAGCCATCACAAGCTGGTGCATTAGTCTTGCTTGCTTTTACCTCTTTTAACAAATACAGGGCCACGCCTTTAGAAGCAGTTTTACAAATCCGCAGGCATTACCATAGCCTGCCACAGGCTTTGGATTCCATATGACCAGCAATAGTAAGGGGCAGCACCCAGAAAGCAACTGTTTCCTCACAAAAATACACACTTTAACAGGACAGGTTTTTAGGACAGGTTTACTTTTCTTCTCCAGAGACCCTAAGGGAAGTTTTTACCATACTTACTCCTTTTCATCACCAATGCAGACACAAGACAAGCATCTATTTTACTTTTCAGGAAGTTTATTTTGTGCACAAAGTTTTAAAAGTCAAAGAAAACTTTTAGCTTTTCCCTGAAAACAACGTTTCCTGAATGAACACGAAAGCTTAGTTATTCTGGTCCTGCACTTAACAGTTCACATAGAGCAAATTGAATGCACTGGAATAACAAGCTTTTTCTGCCACAAAACAATTTCCTTGAAAAGCTTCCATGCTATGAACAGGCTTTTCTGTTTTATATTCGAGGACCAGGCCTTCTCCCATTTCAGTTTTAATTAGTTTGGTATTGACGACTTTACCAGCATTGCTAAAATTAGTACTTAGTCTTACAGTAGCTTCAGAGGGAAGGTCAGGAACTACAGCTTGCAAGTCTATTGTCGATTCCTGCCCAAAATTGAGAACCATCATGAAGACTCTGTCTAACCCATCCAACTCCCTCACGTACACGAAAATGTTACTGTCATTCCAGATGTAGCACATCCATCCCCGATTAAGGGGGAGTTCGTCGTTGCGAAGGGAAGTCAGCTCTCGGTACAAATTCAGGGTTGAGTTGGGCCAGGTCCTCTGGACCTGCAAGGATGAGCGTTAGCACTGTCAGTTCTTTGCATCGAAGGTGGGAAGTACTACTTACCCCTCGCACCCACACGGCCTGCTGAGAACACACCCAATAGAATTCCATTTTGGCAATCCCCTCTCTGCAAACTTGTTTGCAAATTCCACTGGAAAAAAAAACTGTTTTTCCTCATGCACTTCCTCAGCAGAGGTTACTGGGCATGGCAGAACTGCCCCAGCACTAACGCTATTTCTTCCTCCTGCAGCATCCTTTCAGTAGTTTATTCAGCAGAAAGCCACAGCCATTCAAAGCTTGACAATGAACCTTTTTCATCAAGCCTGATCTACTGAAGTCACAGGGTTTGTTTTCTGGTTTATTTTTCCTGTCTTAGATTTATTTCTTTCTGTCTTCACTTCCGCAGATCAGCAAAATCTGTCCGATCCGCTGCTCTACTTATGTTGGAGACAGTCTATGTCAAGCTCTTGTTACAAGGTCAGAGCTTTCTATAGTAACAGAAATGAATAAAGAGACCAGATTTCAATTTACTATTAAAATGGTTAAAAGGATGTCAAAGAGCCAGACTGCAACATCATAACTGCAGCTGCTGTGCTTAAATGAATATAGATGAAACAGGCTCCCTGCTGGTGCAAGGATTTCCTTTTCTAATAAAATTTGTGAGGATTCAGTGATTTTTCTTCCCTTGAGTTTTTTCCTACTGCCAACTCTCACCAAGTAAAATAACTCAGAGGAAAAGAGATGCATTAAATATTTTTAGGCCGTTATTTTGTCATGCATATAGATACCTACTTCAACATTTACACTCTGGTAGTCAGAGTTAACAGGTAACCAGCTACTGTTGCCTTCGGTAAAACCAGCGTTAACTTTGCCGTCCCACTGCATGGGGGATTTCCCTGGAAAGGTCACCTAGAAAACAAGGTGATGATTAGTGGATTAAAAAGTTATCCCTTTGAACAGTACGCTCTCACATCTTCCAAGCGATCACCATTTCAGTATTAATTTCTTTAGCTTAAGTTAAAATTTAAATAAGGAGGATGTAATATGAAAATACGAATCAAGACAGTTCCTGACATGGAGGAGAATGGACAGTCTCATGGATGCAGCATCGCTGGGAAAATGTGGAATTCCTAAATGACTCTGCTGGAATTGTCTCCCCTTGCAACAGACGGTCAAGAGAGAAGTTTACTAACAGCAGCTAGGATATTCTGGTAAATAACGAGACGTGCAGTGAGTGACTATACGAGGTCAGGAGTCTTAAGAAGCGATGCTGTTAAAATTACAGCAAACAACTAGTAAGTGCTCTTCAGTGTCTGTTCTTTTGTAACACTTGTCACCTTAGAACTCCTCAAGCTAACATCTGCAAGGGGTACCATTTGAACAGAATTGTTTGTGTAAGAAGGATAAAATTATTTCCAAGTGCAAAAAACTTTACTGAAAACCAGCGTTTAGCTGATTAAAAAGTGTTGATGCAAAGAGTCTGAAGTTCTGTTTTTGAAGAATTCAGAAAAATCCTGAAAAAAGCTTCCTCGTTGTTATTGAAGAGCTGCCAAAAGATCTGACACTTAAATTTAATGATATAAGAGGGCATAAAATATTTTGCACATACTTTGAGTGTTTGTTTTCCATGAAAACTGTTTTTCATATAAGGGGCACTTTTCAATACAATCTGTCAGAACAGCAGCTCAACAAAAGAAATTGTCACTTTGCTTTGTGACATTATAAATAATGGGTTTCTCCTTTTAGCATGTTCTGAAAAGCAAGGGGAAAAAAAAAAAATCCTGTTTTCGACACTGGTAACACTCCCCTTCATCTTTACCTCTTCTAGCTTCTCCTGGAGCATTTCAAACACTGGGGCTGAAAACTACACCCTGAGTAAATCCTCTACATCCTTCGAGACCCCCACTAATCAGGGGATCTTCCTCCCCAGACTGCGTGAGGAGTGGTTTTGCATCATAACAAAGCCTCGAGCTGCAGGGCAGCCGCTAAAAGAGAGTAAACCCTGAAGCGACAAGGTCAGGCTGCTTTTCCCGAAGAGTATTGGCCTGTCAGCGGTGAACAGCAGCAGTAAGAAAAACGCAGGAGATACTTTGGCCGAGGTGTTTCTCAGAGGAAATGAGATTTCCTTTCAAATCAGAGAATCATTTCCTCACTTCTGAATCAGACAAACGTGGCGATGACCCTGTGCTTCTACAAGTACCTCTTCCCCTTTGATACAACGTTACCCAACGCTGTCAGTAACGTAGTCAGAGGCTGTCTCTTTCCCCAACAGAAGCTTTCCCCAGTGAAACCAACATCTGCCATAGGGCTGTGTTCTCATGATGCTCCAATATGGTCCTGAGAAGCAGAGCTGAGCTGTTCCCTTCGGGGCATGACCTTTTGCAGTCATACGTTTTGGAAAACAAGACAGGAGCAAAGTCAGGTATGATCACAGAGATAAGAAATTACAGGGGTCAAACGTGAAAGCTTTTAAGTTATGCAGATCAGCACAGTGTAAAAGGCACAGACAATTATTTCTGAAAAATTCCATAATCTACCAAACGTCCCATCAGATGTCACTTGTAGGTAGGATCACGTGAGCTAGGCACATAGTTCCCAGGCTCAGGCACCTAAATTGTTTGTAGAAAGGGAGCTAAAAGGCAAACAGAAAAAAAACCTCACGAGACAAGCAAAAGCCACTTCTGCTTGCCACCAAGTAACGCTCAGCAGAGGCTGGTCTGTACACCCATCACACTCTTCAGAGTCCGGGCCCATTGTAGAGGGTTGTGCCTTCAACAGGTGCACTTCTGGGCCCTCATAGACTCTGATTTCCTTGAAATAGCAGCCAGGAAGTAAGAGACTTTGATACAGCATTTTGGTACTGCTGTGGGAGGAAGGCAATAAAAACTCAGTTCCTCTTGCAACACACTTCTCCTGACCGCCGGCCCAGGCCCCATGTTGGCACTTGCTGCCCTTTCTGCCGAAGCGAAGAAAAGCGACACCGCTGCAAAGCACGCGAGACCGATCTGGCAGAGAACAGAAATCGGGGACCATGACCGCAGTCTAGTAGTTCAGACACACATCAAGGTCTTGGTTCTGGTTTCTGGCCTGGCCGGCTCCACGTGCTGTCCAGTGGTTTTGCCACAGGGAACACCGGAAAACATCTAAACAGTCAGGAAGGCTGGGTTTGGTTAACTACAGTTCTTGTATTTATTAAAGTTTTGTTACTCGGAGCTAAAAAACAAGATCAGAGTTTACTCACTTCACTTACGTTTTCTGACGCAATGTTCTCCATGCCTATTTCTTCACCATAGTAAGTTACAGGAGTACCAGGGAGGGTTAAAAGCAGCACATTCATAACATTGACATACTCCTTCCCAATCCGAGATGAAATCCGAGCAGCATTAGGGCTTCCAACCTTCAGAAAACATCATTCTGTTAAACACATATTCTACAATTCCATGCACACATGCAATTGGTTAACTAATTTAACAAGGTAGTAGGTTGTGGGTTTTCCTCTTGCCTTCCCCTGCAGGCCTGTGAGGGCAATTGTCTTTTCTATCTTAGTGCCATCACAAAATTCTGCCCTAAATAATGTAACACGCAGAAGCCCTGCCAGAAGCACAAGGCAGAAGTGAGAAGAGACAAGAGTTGCTACTCTCTGGGATTACAGTTCCCTCAGATTTCTGCCACTTTCTCTGCTGCATGAAAGCAGTGCTTGTTTTGCAATCATCTCTTGCACATCCCAAACATGCTTCCTCGTGGAGACCAGCAAGATTTTAAGTTAACTGCTCTCAGCTGCCTGCTCTGTTCTTCCCTGGCCCCGGGAGGTCTCCAGAATCCGCACTGAGGCACTTGACAGCCAAAGGTCACTGAATGAACCCCATCCTTTTAGGGGGTTTAAGCCAGGGCCCCACACTGCACTGGAGACACCAAGAGAGAGGCACGACAATAAATTCCCTTACACTCCCTGTGCAAGGGTGACGGAAGTGCTACAGAGGGGCAGGACAGCCGGCTGGGCAATGCCATCCACTGGGAGAGCTTCGCGTGGACATCTCCCACAGCTCAGCCACAGGCTCCAGCTGCTGCTGACCCCACCAAAATCAAGGGGCAGAAGGAGGTCTCTACCACCAAAAGAAGAATTATCACCTATGGGATCCTATCACCTACAGGAACAAGTCCTTTCCTATAAGAGTTGGCCTAGAGCTCTTACCGCCCAGTTTGGCCATTTTCCTGTAGGCATGTTTTTCATCCACAAGTTGACAGCTTCAAAAATACTGTTGCCCGATGGATTTTTCATGTTAATTAGGTTGAAATTGAAGGGAAAGTCTGCTTCTTGGATAAAAGTTGTTCCATAATACATCATTGTTGCTTCAATATCTTCCTCTTCATCACCATCAGATCCCATAAATCTAAACAGAAGTACACAAATGCTTTTTCTTTTTTCGCTCGTTCTTGGTTTTCACAGAACAGAAGGAAGCTAGGAATGATGTTAGACATACATATAAAATAACACAGCATTAAGAATCAAAAAAAGACTAATACAAAGAAACAGTGTTTTGTAAAGCAGACAAAGAGAAGTATTTTGGGGGAATTTCTTGAGAAAAATCTAGAGCGGTCAACAAAATGCTGAGAGTATCTGACTGAAGTCTTATTTTTTCTGCACTCCACGCACTCCATTCCAGAAATTGTCGCGCTTTCCTTTACAGAAAAGGACCTGAGAGTCCTCCAAGTTGAACACGAGCCCACAATGTGTCCTTGCTGCCTTAGGAGGAACGCTGTCAGCAGGTCAGTGAAGGTGAGCCCTCTCCTCAACTCAGCACCAGTGAGGCCACAACTGGAGCGCTGTTCTGGGCTCCCCACTACAAGAGAGTCGTGAACATACTGCAGAGTCCAGCAAAGAGCTACTGAGACCACTGAAGGACTGGAGCAACTCTATGAGGAAAGGCTGAGAGAGCTGGGACTGTTCAGCCTGGAGAAGTCTCAGGGGGAAACTCACTGAATGTATGTAAATACCTGAAGGGAGGGTGCAAAGATGTCAGAGTCAGGCTCTTTTCAGTGGTGCCCAGTGACAGGACAGAGGCAATGGGCACAAGCTGAAACACAGAGGTCACCTCTGAATATCAGGAAACTCTTTTTCACCATGAGGGTGACCAAGCCCCAGCACAGGTTGCCCAGGGAGGTTGTGGAGTCTCCATTCTTGGAGATGTTCAAAAGCCATCCAGACAAAATCCTGGGCAACCTAGGTGGCACTGATGAGCAGGTAGACTGGACCAGGTGACCTCTAGAGGTCCCTTCCAAACTCAACCATTCTGTAATTTTAACCATCTCTAACTATGCACCCAGCATGAACCACGCTATTCATATTATACAATAAATCAGCCACAAGGCTCATTCATTGCAGTGTTTCTGTGATCCGAATGGTCACCCTTTCTTTGTACAGTCTGCAGATACAGCAGAGCTACTAAGGCCGATTAATTTCTTTTCCCCTCACACAGTGGGGAAGAGCACTGCTATTTGCATTTGAGGAAGAAAACTCTCTATGGTATATTATATTATTAAATAAACAGGTTACTGCTAGCAAGAGGGTGACAAATATTAGAGAACAATTCACTAGCTGTAATAATGATTACCTATATCGGCCAGGTTCACTGCTGAACTGATTCATGGTTTGACGGAAGCTACGGATGATATCGTGCATACCAACCTGCGTGGTCGTGTAGTCATGATAGAGCTGGGAATAGGCTGTGATACTGTCCTTAAAGAAGGATACAATATTTCCCATTAGTTCATCAATGTTTTAGATTTCAGAACTCTTCCCATCCTTTCCTGTGACGATGCATCAGTCTGGATAAATTCTAACTGAAATGAGTTTAGTACGTCAACACTAACAGTGCAGAGCTGAACTGCACTTGGGGAACTCTGAACATATGACAGCAGAGCGCTGATTATTTGGGATCCCGTCCTTCAGGAGGGACAGTCCGCCCGCAGCACTAACCCACCAAGCCCACCTGCAGCAGCGAGCATGGCAGGTGCTGCAGCCACACACCAGGCTGGGAAGAGGGACAATTTTGTTGTGGTGACTTACAAAGGCAACAGATACCTGTGGAAGTGACCAGTTTTACATGATCTTCAACAGTGTCTTGGTGCTGGCACTATCTGGGAACATCAACAAGTCCACCACCTCAGCAAAAGCAAACAGCAGAAATAACTGGGTGCAAGACTCTGAATTTGTCTGGCCACCTCTCCCTGCGATATATTGCCAATTCAAGGTTTTTGGTTTACTCTGATTCCTACTAGCCACGCAGGAAAAATAGATGCCAATGACTGCCACAGAATCCAAGCAGCCAAGAGCTCTGAGCTCCTGTAATGAGTTCCCCAAAGATAACCAATCGACTATTACAATCACAAGACTGGTCTTTTTAGAATGTAAATTGAAAAGCAAATTATTTAAAAATTATTTTAAAATAGAAAATTCAAAGCAAGTGTCAGAGCAGAAATACAAAGTGTATATGGACAATTCTCCTCCCACCCGCAGCGCTCCCACTTGCAGTATCTCACTGACCTACACCCTCAGCCCAGGTGCTTTATTTCTTGTAAGAGCAACTTCTGCCCAGGAGCCACCTGCCTTCCAAGGGACCCAGCTTACCCTGTCTTCCTAAAGCCACATTTAAGACCCGAAAGAGTAAAAACATACACTCTCTTGCCCCAGTAGGAAATACAGGAAAAATGCAAAGACAGAACATATACGTAACTGGATTCTGGGACTTGTTCACTTGAGGCTCATCTCGGAGATGTGTTGCTTCTAAAAGGAATTTAACAGCGCTGAAACTAATTCCATCGATTCCTTTGCCGAGCCAAAATTTGATAATATCCTAGACAAAGGTAAAAATTGAGAAACCCAAGTAAGCCCAGCCCATACTTCAAAAGAAAGCTACACCTGTTAGGAGGTATTAATATGTAACTGGTTTATAAGTCTAACTTCTAGTAAAATTTGAAGTACAAGTGAATCATGTCAACTAAAGGTCAAACTAAGATCTGAATAAAGCATGTCTTATTATTTCATTTGGTATAAAAAAAAAGACCCGTCTGTAACTTCTCCCATAATTTACGAGACCAAAGCCCAGGCATGACTCAATAAAAGCTGTTTCTAATCTCATCCATCAAAACAATTGGGCTAGTGCTATCTGCTGCTGTTGGCAAACACCCGTCATGGCTGCACACAAGTAGAACACATTGATTCAAATATACAACAATATTTTGCTCTGCACAGACCTTGTGCAGTCAGTTTTCATTTTATACAGCAGAGCTCTCTCTTATTTGGCTGATGTGATTTTTTTTTATTATAATTTTCAGGCTTATTTGTTGATTTGCAGGCACATGAAAATTTATTATCGAAGTTAACTGCTACCAATTTGTAATTTCACTATCAAATTCAGTCACTATTAGTAAAACTGTATCCTACTTCAGTAGCTACTGTACTACTACGGCTTTAATTGCTCTCATTTTAGCAATTAACTCTAAAAGTTCAGTCCCCCTTGAGTGGTTTCTGTAAATGTTCTTTTAGACCAGACACTTTTCTTCATCTGAGGAGAAACACTTTTTTTTTTTTTTTAATACACAGCTACTGAATTGCCTTTTTCTAAGTGTATGAAGTACACTTGCCTGAATAGGCTGGAGGAGAATTAGTCCACACTCAAGTTTACAGATTTTTGCTTGGCAAATAAAGACTCTGCCTTACTGAGCTGTACTTTCTCATAAAGCCATTCTGAAAGCAGCAGATGTCGATACGGTGTCTGTCTAGTACTGAATTCACCAAAAATAAATTCATGCTTATGCATGTGCTCATCACAAAAGCAACACCACATATCGACGGTGCAAATATCAAGCACTGACGTGGTATCACTAACACTGATCTACTTTTATTTATGCAAGAAAGCTCCAAAATGCTGGCTGATAGCTTTAATTGCATGCTCTGTGGCTAAAGAAGATTTCAGCCTCTCAGGAAGAGTCCATGGGCTTCCTGCTTAGTCCTCCTAACCTTCTGAAACAGAATTTTGAATTAAAATACTAAACAAAGGCTACTCTTTAAAACGGTGGATCAATTAATGATGTTCTTAAGCATTTACCAAAGGTTGGTTTTATCTGAGCAAACTTACTAGTTTTCATTTCATTTCTCTGCACAGGAAGTGCAGCATCTATTTGCTACTGTATTGAGTACCATCAAAAAAAAATAAATTAGCCAGGACCACTGAAAAGTATGTGTGTTGCCAGGAAAAAAAGGTGTGAGTGGCAAGAGGTGGCATTAAGGGAAGTATCAAGAGACAGGTTACTAGCAGAGTTCTTCAAAGATGAATCTCAAGAGCAGTGTCATTTCACGTTTTAGTTAACGTACGTTCTTCGTGCACACGCAGTCAGCATGGTGAGGGGAGAGGCCCCTCAGAGACAATGAGGCCATCACAGTAGAACTGGGCAGCTGTGAAGACTATAGCCAAAGAAATGCACCAAAATCCAACAATGCAAAGCAACAAACACTTCAGGACTAAATAAAACACTCCAAGTAGCTGTACTACCTGATGGGGTATAACTTAAAGAAACGAAAACAAAAAAGACAAAACAAACAAAAAACCCCACCAAAAAAACCCAAACGAACACAGAAAAACGTAGCAATTGTCAGATCCTCTATGTTCAGGCCCACTTCCCCATATTTTAATGCATTCTACAGTTCCTGTTGGCAAATATGGTGTTTCATCAGAGCGGCACCACCAGTTCACCCTGGTGAGGCACCCCCTGGCTGGGATGGCCCGTCCATCTGCCTCTCTCCCCTGTGAAGTCACCAGAGATGCAGACAGACAGAAACTCACTATCTCCCCCTTATCTGCAAGCCCAAGCATTCCATGTAATTCAAATCAGCCTTGCTTCCACCTTCTTGAAAATGCAGGTATCTCTGCTAAAACAAGGTGCCATCCCCACATCTGACTGGCCAATTAACAGCTCCTTGTTTCAACAGATCAAAACCTCTCCACTTGAGTGATTGAGCTCCCTTTCAGCACCCACTTCACCTTCCACATCAATCCTTCTGTTAATTGCTATCCTTGATAGAACACCCAGGTCAAGCTAAGTGCCTTCATCCTTGGCTCTCCATGGAGAGCAGAGCTGAAAGCAGTTACCTGCTTCCAGGCAGCAGTCACGCTGGGTTATTTGAGTACAAGCACTAGCAAGTAACAGCAATCTTTGGATACAGAGAGAGAAGTACCTACATCACTGCACCAGGTTCTGCCCAGACACCTCTTCTCCTCCCTTTAGTTCTGGCCATCCCCACTTGAGGAAAACCCCAGGCTGGAAGCACTGGGAGAAGTAAGCTAAACAAGGAGTAGCTAAACAAGCCAGTAGCTAAACAAAGAGTAGCAGCTAAACAACAGGATGGGGAGTATCTCAGGTTAGGGGAGACTGGAAAAGCCCACCCCACTCAATTTATTTTAACAAAAGCTGAAGAGATACCTTGTCAGAGCTAAAAATCCAAATAAGCATAAACAAGGGTGGGAAAAGCCATTTCAGCTGAAGGACAGGTTTGGTTCATAGAGAAGTATGAACAGTTTGCAAACAAGGTTAGGCTGAAAAGCAGAGAGATCCTGAAGCATCAAAGCAACTTTAAAATAGAGTTTTGTGGGAAGAGAAAGGGAAAGGGAGCTCCTTTTGAAGGGCAGTAGCCTGTTCCACAAACCCATCAACGTCTTGCCACTCGTGAAAGCAGGAGACTTTTGGCAGCACAAAAAGCCACAGTCGTACCTTCTTAAAATCCAGAGGACTGCAACATCACCTGCTGCCAGTACTTCCACTCAAGGACTATTTTATTTGGATTCTTTTTTTGGTTGCTTGTTTGCTTTCAAATTAAAAAGACTCGAAGCAAAACCGCTCTGATTCTAGAGGTATTACAGCATAAAGCTTGGATTTTGCTTATAACGTAATGTTTCTCCAGACACCTTTTTGTTTCATTTGGTGACATACGCTGCAATCCTTGAATTACTTCCAACTAGACTGTAAATCATGTAGCACAAATAATCAGAGAAATTAAGTGTAGAAACAGTTGCTCTGCTGTTGGCACACACGCAGTGGGTTACATACTTACATGGATTTCTTGTTGGACAGCAAGGTTGCGAAAATTTAAGTCAGGCTGTTCTTTCCCAAACTGATGAAAATAGCATTGCTTTCTCACATCGTCAAACTGCCAGCTGGAATTCCCAAAGACACTCACCTGCTCAAGGAAGCGGAAAATCAGAACTCCTAATTTAACAAACATTTACTCCTATGCATACTTTAAGATATGGTACAGTGCAAGCATACAATAAAGCACAAAATGCTTAATCGATAGACTAGATTCCGTGTAGATTTTGGTACTTCCGTGGTTTTATTTGGTTTTGTATTTTTTTTAAGTAGACTTTCCCCAGGAATCATTCAAAATTGAGAGGAAAGCATGGGTAGGAGCATTTCTTTTGGAATTGTTTTTCCTAAAACTTATTAAAAATAGCTTTAGATAACTTAGAGCTTTTTGCAATCTGGTATTACCCTTTTGAAGCACCAACAACAGTAAGCATGTTAAAATGTCAACTATATCATCACCATTCTAATGAAAAATTCCAAAAGCTATGAGAGCTCTCAAGACCCTAAATTTAAAGAGAAACTACAGTAGTTGGTACAAAATATTAATTCCATTTGAGCTTTTAAAATTTACAAGTTCCTAACCACGCGCTCATCAGTTAAAATTTCAGATATATTTGAAACGGGCAACGCACTTTCTGTCCTGACCACCTTCCAGAAAAAGGAAAACACACCACAAACACACAGTTTTGTTTCCCTCCCCACCAACTATGATTGCAGAGGACCCGGGATGAAGTTTCCAGAGCAGAGTACCCAGACACAGAGTGGGGCATGCGCACACAGCTTGTGCACAACCATCCCTTTTCGTGTTTGTTTTTTATGCGTGAAGACTTAACAATGATACAGAGAAACAGAAGTAACTTTTTCAGTTCTGTCTGAGGCAGGAACTCCTCCCCACCAAGCTGGTTTAAATCTTAAGCTGCACTAGCTCATTTAGTAACCTTAGTTTGCACCTCTCAACAGCTGTTTATAACCCAGCGTGCATTGGGACAGTTATGCTACAGCTGCTTTTGCTATGTGGCAGCCTACATCCAGCTCGGGATTTGCACGTGTCCCTTCCCGTGTTTACCCAGTTGTTCGGAGGAACGACCGACCCAGCGGCCTGCGCGCAGTCCTGCCAGATGTAGTAGTCCGTGTACTTCCCAGTTCGATTGCGACTCAGCTGAAACCATCGGTGTTTGTCACTTGTATGGTTTGGTATTAAATCCATGATCACCTTTAGTCCTTAAAATCAAACCATAAAAAAAAAAGGCAAGAAAAAAAACCCGCCAAACATTAAATTTAGCCTTTTAAGACAAAGCTCACTTTTTTATTAATGCAATATCAGAAGTATTTGGGCTTCTTTCATCCCAGAGGTCTGACAAAGGAGAGAGGCAAAACTACCCACAAAAAGCCCCAGAATGCCAATACAGTTAGACTAACAAGAGTCTGCAAGTAGATGCAACACATTTTGCTGGTACTGTTTCCCCCAGTCCATTACCGAGGAGAGAAAGAAGAAGAAAGAAAAAAAATATTAGAACAGATTCCCATTGTTACGAACCACTTCCACTGACTGACTTCCAACATCTGTCTCCTACCTCCCAGGTGAGAAAGGCACTTAGCCAGTCTAGCACCAGTGAACACGAGTTCTTCCTTACCCACCCTAAAGACTGGACTTTTTTTGGAATGCCACATGTTTCAGGGACTTACAAACTATTTTCCATTCAGCCCAACAGTTATAAGGGGGAAACACCTGAGCAAATGTTTGGTCTAAAGCACTAAAGGCACCAACCAAGGATGCAATGGCCAGAAGGACACATATGTTCCCTCCCAACCCCGCAACCACTTTCCTGCTTTCTTCAGAGAGCAGCCATCAATCATAAAATTCAGTCAGGCACAACTGCACCTCTTCAGCCCCCAGACTATCGATGTCCACACCTTACGCACCACCCACGAGCATCCTCGGAAGGGGCCATGCCTTGTAGAGGACATACAGCAGCCCGACGCTGCTCTTGTATGTCCCTGCACCTTCAGTTCTGGCTCCCAGCACTAACCCCACCCCCAAGGGCGGGAAACGGCAGCCACAGAACTCCCACTGCTCTGGAGCTAATGCACACCCTTCACCGGCACCTCCACCTCCTTCTGCTCAATGCCACCGCGCAGGAATTGCCAAATGCACAAACTGAAATCCCAGATCATAACCTAGTGCTAAGAGTGACGCCTCTATAATATGAGTGAACATCTTCTTAACAGAGTTATTTTTGCTTGGAGTTGCAGCTTACCTCTGTCATGTATGGCTGCAAGCAGATTCTCAAAATCACTCATTGATCCAAACATGGGATCAATATCGTAGAAGTCTTCAGCTCCATATCCAAGGTCTTTCAAGGGGGACTTAAAGAAAGAGGTGATCCAGATGGTCTTTATATTCAAATACATAATATGGTCCAGTTTTTCTTGAATACCTATTTAAAAGAAAAGGGCGTCATCTATTCAGAAAAGACAAAATACTTCTGTTGAATTAAGTTTGCTATGGGCTTTCAAAGAGGGTACAACAAGTCCCTTTCATATATAACCATCCGCTGCTTTCACTGATCTCAGGTAGCAAAGCAATCTTGACATTTCTTCAGGGACAGCATGAGATTGCAGAATGGAAGCCATTTAAAACCACTTTTACAAGGAAGATAAAGCAGGAATTAAAAAAAAAAAACCACAAAAAATAAACTCCATCACATACAAAAATAAAACAACAACAAAAAAGATCAAACCAAATCTCTATTGCATATGATAATAATAGTTACAATTTCATCTAATAAATTTAAGTCACTTCTGAAAACAAGCTCCTAAAATTTTGTTAAAATGCAGCAACAGCATTGCTCTCCCATTTCAAGGAAGATCAATTAATCCTCAGACCAACCAAAGGGAAGCACAATTTTAATGCAAAGATCTCAGGTTTTCCTTGGCTTAGGAAAAGTCTCTTGTGGGGTTTTTCTCTTGTTTTCTGCACGGACACCTCACTCCAGCCTCCCCTAGTATTTTTAAATTCAAATCTTTCCTATATTCCTGACATATTACTACTGGCATGCAACTACAGAAACAGATTCTTCTCCTTACTTGCCAGCAGAGTAGATTTTAGCTAGTGCTTGTTTGGAAATTTACTGCCCATTAATGTGTTGAGCCTCCCAATTTCCAAAATATAGTCTGAGCAAGCTACTGACAAGTGCCATTGCCTCCTGGTATCAGGTACCCCTTCCCAATGCATTCCTAAGAGCCCAAACACACCTACACCGTGAACAAAACAAGAAGTAACACATCTTTCTCTCCTCTTTGTCCATTTTATTTTCCCTACGGAAAGGCAGCCAATCTAACACGACAAAGTGCTCAGCACCACCCTTCCTCCCAACTGACTTCATTTTTGTGAAGATATTTTATTCCAATGGCAGCTGTGCTGCTGCTTGCTCCCAGCCCCACCTTTAAACATTCATATTAACTCCAGGCGTAGACTTAGCAACTTGAGCACGCAACTCCTAGATTTATTTGTGACAATGTGAGTTGCCATTAAAGCCTAGCCAGACATCTTTTCTTCCCTTGTTCATTAGGGTGGTCTTCTCCACTGGACTGTATGGCGATTTTTAAATTATTTTGAAAAACATATATTCTTATACACACATACATAGACAATACTACACATCTTTGCACATACCAGGAACAGAAATTCACCCACCTTTCAGATCCCCATTCCCATCCATGTTGGTGTCCTTGAAGGAGCGAGGATAGATCTGATAAATAGGACTAGCCTGCCACCAGTCAAGGCACTTTGGAGAGAGAGCAATAATTGCAATCGTAGCGCCCACAAGCACAACAGTAGCAGCAATTATGAGCCAGAAAAGAATCTCCCTGGTGACTCTGTACCGGGCTTGGCTGGAAAACTTCAGCAAGACTTCCTTGGGCATCCCCGCATAGGGCTTCAGTGCCAGCTCCTCTATAGACACTGGGTCCACATCCACAATGCACATTCTTGGTATTTCGTCTTGGCTACTGGTCTCAGCCTCCTTGTCATCAAAAGTCTCATTTTGAACAAATCCATTGTTCTCTACACCTCCCTTCTCGCTCAGCTCCATAGGTAAGCTCTTAGCTTCTTCCTCAACCATTTTACTTTAGGGGTCTTGTCCTGGAGACTCTGGCCACAGCAAGGAAGCGTTGCCAATACACCTTTGTTCAGTTAAATGAGAAGCAGTGTAATTAGCAACTGGGTTTATAATCAATCCTGACCAACAGGTCAAAGTGCACAAACACAAAAAAGGGCAAAGTGCTCCTCTTTTGCTTAATAAGCATCTTCAATGAGATAACAAAATACTACAAGAAAGTGCTGTCTTCCAGGGCAGTAAGCCCATTGCTCGTACCAGCCAAGCAGAGTTATGCTTACTGTTGCTCTCTCCAGTACACCAAACTTGTCTTCCTTTTCGCAGCAGAGGAAAATGTGAGGTTTCTTCCCAGTAGAAGATTTAGTAAATATGCAGCTTTCCAGACTGGTCGTGGTCTCCCCTGCCTAAAGCAGTCTGAGCGTTAATGAGTAATTTAAACACAGGCAGCAAGAGAATGAGGTGTTGACAACTTCAAGCCCAAAAGCAACAATACAAACTAACTAAGCAAAGATAAAAAGGCTAGTTGTGCTTAGTTTCTCACCGCTTAGAAAAACAAACCCCCCCCAAACTAATCCAGCCCATCCACAACCCTTAAGCAGTAACAAGGATAAGGCACATACCACTCTGCAATTCACAGCATGCAACAGGTTGCTACACCCAGAGCTATCAGGACAGGATAGCTCTCCACAGGCACAAGTAAGACTCAACAGAGAAAATCCCACTGCCCACTAGTAAAATCCCTTTTCAGCAAAATAAAAAAAAAATAAAAATTGAAGGAAAGCAGCCTTTCCCGTCTCCCTCCAGCCAGGACGATGCATTGCCCAAAGCCTGCACACGCATACACAGATACATGCTAAGCCCCAACTGGCCTGAAGCCAGTGAGCCCAAATCGGCCAAAACTTCCCCTCCAGCCAGTGCCCTCTGCCCAGGCATACCAAAGGAAAGACAAAGCCATAAACATATGCAAAGGATCTGCCTTATCACGTGTAAAAGGAAACACCTACCTACAGCCATGGGGTCAAGGTCCCAGGGAAACTCCCACGGACAACTGCAAGAGAGAAAATGTTTGGTTTGGCCCCCAAAAAGTATTTATTATGTTTGCCTCAAACCATGCAAGAAGTTTATAAACCAATGACTGAAAAAAAATCCAGCATGCAATATTCAAATGATTCAGAAACGTGGGTTTTTTCTTCAGTAGCTGAGTAAGAAGAGGTCTTTTTCTGTGATAGATTTAATTCTTTTCTTCCTCACAGCAATACCTGGCAGCAACCTCAGCCTGTGCAGTCAGGTAGCTACTGAAGCACTGGAGATAACAGCAGTACTTTCAGTGCCTGCAATTCAGTATTAGCAGGAAATTCAGAAGCAGGAAATTATTTGAAACAGTCTCCCATCTAATGATTCTACAGTCTTAAGGTTATCATATCAGTAACTTGTTTCCAGACAGTCATGGTACGCTCAGGGCATAAGCTTGTACTCAGTACAATGCCAAATGCTACCCACATTTTACTTGTTTCATTTCAACTATTTCCAATTAAAATAGGAACTATGTAAATAGAGAACATTTTTTAGAGTATAATACACACACCTCAAGACCTTAGTACACCCCACTTCACCTTTTTCCTTAAACTCAGTGGTTTAAAACATGCCCACGATTTCCTGCACTATCTAAAAACTTCTTCAAGTGCTCGAGCACAGCAGAAAGCAAAGCAAGTCAGGGGTAAGAGAAAAGGAGCCCTCTGCCACAGAAGTGGGGGTCAGCGGAGCCAGTGGGACTTGGGTTGGTCGGATGCACAGTGAGGACTCGGTGCTGGGGCCAGGACAGTCTGGCAATAGACTCAGAGCACCCTCAGTTGTGGGTTGTTTGGTTCTGTTTATTTGTGTTTGGGGTTTTTTTTCCTCCTTAGACCATAAGCATGTTTCTAAATCATGAGGCTGCCGCAATACAGAATCAGAGTTGAGAACACCAACCTATTTACACACAAATATATATTCTGTGCCTTTGCACTGCCCCCCAGAAATGTGTCTGGCCCTCCAAAAACCTCATCAGTCACTGCAAGAACAAAGCCAAGTCTCTCAGATCAGGACATTGAGCCAAACCAATGACTGTAAAATAAGGCTTGCTCCTGCTGTGATATTTAGAGAGGCAAGTAGCATGTAAAAAACAAAAACCAAAAAATGTTTGAAGGGCACTCACGAAAAAAAGTCAACTAGGAGTAAACACTGATGAGCAGATTGTATGCTAGTTATCCAAGTAGCTGTGTTGTTTTGTTTGCTTATTTGCTTTTTATTTTAAAAATGCATTCTCAGCCACCCATAGCATCAGATCTGACAGGGTAAGCCATTGCTCTGCTCATTCCAAGTCTTTCCTACCAGGCTAATGGGAACTGGGAACAATCTCCTTGCATTTGGAGAAAATACAAAGGGTGTGCTCATGCTAGAAGACAACTGCATGATAAAACAGCAAAGCGTTATCAGTGACACATTAATCAGATTGTAGTGCTTTTTTTCCTCCCTCCTTTTCTCTGTGCAACAACACACCTGACACATGAGCCCACAGAGCCAAGGCCAGCCACGCTGTCAGTTTGCTTGGTACCACATCATGACTGCATCATGCAGAACCTGTCACAAGTCATGGTCGGCATCGTTTTTGAACAACACAGCCCAAGTTCAAGGATCTTCGTTGTTTACCATTTTGCAGCATGGGCATACAACTGAGAAAAGGCAAATGTCAGAGCATTTACATACTCAAGACACAGATCAGTACTTCTGCAAGTCCCAGGAAGCATCTCTGCTACATCAGTGGAACACAGACATGCAATTTATCATAACAAATAGCTGCTCCATAGGCAACGCTACATGACCATGACTGAAGTTGCAGTTCTGGGACTAATTCACCAGCATTTAGTGCTAATTCAATCAACTCTTATCCCTGACTGCCTGTTCCTGCCTTGCATTGCCCCCTGCCTCATGCCAGATGAAGTATTTAGGCAGCCGTGCAGTGAAACAGATTGGGAAACAGATTTGGCTGAAAACAATAATTTAATTCTTCAGATAGTTCTATTCCTAACCTGCCTGGACCCCATGAGACCACTCCAATGCCTCAGCCAGCCCAGCATGAGGAAGAGAAGGAGGGTGAGCAGGAAGAGAGGCCAGAACACAAAGCACAACCACTTGACTAAACAACTCCTGTCTGTCCCTTAGAAAAAGTCCTATCATTTCACTTCCAGAAGCAGAAAGCAGTTAAGTTTCACAAACATAAACACTGCT